TTCTTAATTTTTTACAGAATTTTTTTATCTGGCTTAAAAAACTAAGCTCCCAAATATTGAAAGATAATTGTTTCATTACATTCATAAAATGTTCTTTTACAATTTTAACATAGTATGCCACTCATAAGCAAAAGAAAAGAGATGAATGTGTGATATTTATTACAATCATAATAAATTTAATCAAAAGAAATATACCTTAAAAGCCATTTAATTTTGCTGTAATTAAATTCATAACAAAAAAACAGATAAAGAAATAAATAACAAAGAAACATAACACTGAAGCAGTTTAATATTCAAATTAATTTAATTTCAAACCTACTGTCCTACAATAAAAAATAGATTTAATATAATTTTAGCTATATTTATGTAATTAAAATAAAAAAATGAACTTAAAATGTCGACAAAAGTAAAAGAAATAAGTTACAGTTAATTACTTTTTTTCTCACTGTACAAAAATAATTCATAATTAAAATATGAATGGATATATGGATGAATATATTTTAAGATTTACTACTTGCATATCTCATTGAATAGAAACATTGGTAAAATGACTGGTGCCTTCCAAACAAAAGTCAACCATTTCAATTGCCCGTAATTTCTCACGTCATTAAAAAAATAATGGTACTTTTCCATTTTGCCAGAGAAAAACTTGTCAAGCACACTTTACTGGCAGCAATACACAATATACACAAAAAAAATGTTAATAGCTGTCAGTTCTATAAAAAAAATTTTTTACTTTGGAGAAATAAGCATTTAATAACTTTTTTAATTTTTCATTCTGTTTAATGTAAAATATTCCATTTGGCATAGGTTGTATCCTTTTTGGCAACATTATTGCCTACACAGGCAAAATGGTAAAGTACCAAAATAGTTAATCCATTATTTTATTAAGTCACACTGATTGCAGTTTTTGCTTAACAAAAATGGTTAAGAGATATATAAATTTGTATTAAACAAATATTTATATATGAAGATTTTACTTAAATTCATATAATTGTTCATTTATAATTCTTTTTGTAAGTCTTTCCTAAAATAAAAATAATTAATACAATATGAAAGGTATTTTTATCAAATTAAAGAGGTCAATGCACAATTATTCATGAAACAACTTTATTAATTAAACATAAATAAATGAATGAATGGTAATATAAATACTATGAGAAATGAAAAAGATGTGAATTTTTTAATAAACAAGTTTAACAAAAATAAACGATGCAAGAAAATTAGGCAAAAAGGAGAGAATGATCAAAGCTTGCTTAAGAAATAAAGCAACTTGAATACCCAAATATTTAAATAACAATTCTATGTTTTATTTAATATATATATAAACAGGCAAATGGATCAAACTTTATATTTATTTATTTAAAAAGTTGTTACTAATTCGATATCAGTACACAGCCATCATTATATATTTATTCTATTTAATAAGTTTTTTCAAGAAAAAATCGTCAGAGTTTGTTTACGTTAAGGTTTACCAGATTTATTTATCCAAATAACAAAAACGCGCGCAGTCTTAAGAACGAACATTGTTTATTTTCTAGACATTATTCCATGAATACATGTAGCAAATACTTCGATACTTTTAAAAACATAAAAATTATTTTACACATGTTTAACCAAAAGTAGCATAAAAATAATAAAATTCGAAATTTTCGAATTTTTTAAAAAAGTTTACAAAATTTCTGTAACACATGTTATGAATAAAATAACATCTAAACGTACAAATGAATACAAACTTAGTATTACGCAAGTAACCTCAAAATTCTTTTTTGTAGAACAGCAGAATAAAAGTATTCGCTCAGAATTAAATTATTCTTTGAATAATGATTGTCAGAATCATATGACCGCAATAATTTTATTCAAAATAACACCATCATAGTAACATATCGCAAAGAAAATTAGTCAAAGTAAAATGCTACGAATGACAATTTACACAAAACAAGTAGAGGAATAACATACGGGAAAAAATTACTCAATCGTATCGTTACAAGAAGGAAATTTTTTCCTCAAAAGTCAATAACGTCAGAAATAGAAACTAATTACAGACTGACGTATGGAAAAATATTACAGCACTAAACAAATCAAGAAAGAACTTGAACATAAAAACAATTACTAACCTTCTTTTTTGAAAAATAACAGTAGCAAGGTTATACAATGTGCAGGTTTTTCACTTCCGAAAAATAAGGGCGGCTTCAGTGTATTTTGGAACAAACTAACCTATAGATCTTTAATCAACTCAAATACCAATATGGCCACCCCTCAAGAAACACTGCTGCCAAGAGAAAAAAAAGTATGCAGTAAAAACATTTCAAGAAAATGTAAACATTAAAAAATATTTAAGCGCTTAAACCATTACTCAAATATTTGAATGGTTATTACATATATTCACAGTTACTATTAAGAAAATGTAATTTTAAATTTTAATAGCACATCATATGATTTCATTTGTAAGGACATTTCAAATAGCCTACTCCAAAAAGTTTTCATTGGTCGGTGTTTGATATTAATAATCCCCTAAGCAGAGAGTCGTGTCAGATTTTGAATAAAAAACAATTTTTAATTACTATTGCTCTTTCCTCAGAAAAATGCCCCTGAAACCAACTTAGCTTGCTAGCCTCCACCAAAAAAGAAAAAAAGAACAGTGTGGTTCAAGTGTAGAATAGGGGGGGCCACTTTCGGATTTGGCGATTTTTATCTGAATGTCATGGTGAGAAATCGAATTCATTGTGAAAATAATAAATAATTCCGAAAAAAGTACCTTGGTGCCAACTTTTAGCCGGAAAAAAAGGACTGCGCCAAGTGGCCCCCCTATACTACACTTGAACCAAAAGTGTATTGTACTCATTGTGACTGATGCAACACTAAAACACCTCTTTCCCTTAATTAATTAAGAGAACTAATGAACAATAAGGTAATGTAACGTATTGTTACCATGGAAACCAAGAATGCTGGCAGCTTTGGGAAATATATATTTCCCAAAACTGATGACAATCTTAGAGCAATACAAAATTCAATTTCCTTAAAGAAAATTAAAGCCCATATTTTTAAAACACAAGAGAAAAAGCAAATAAATTGGCCATTGAAGGTTGTCCTCTACTACAATTCTCAGGATACCACTAAAGAATTTACCGTTTTCGACTTCTGTCAAAATCTACAGCGTTCTTAACAGTAAACACACACACACATTAATAGACTTATATTCTTGGTCATTTTTCAAAACTGCAGGACAAACTAAAAAGTGGCAATATTCCTTGGGCTGATGCACCGATAACCATTGCGAGTCGACTAAGAATTTTACTGCTCTGATCCTTATACTTTTACTGGAAACTGTGAAAAAGCTTCTTAAATTATGAATATTTCAAATACTTTTTTCAAATAAGAAAATAAATTAATTTAATTTTCCCAAAGCCTCGTGAATAATGGCATTGTTCTATTAGTTGTAAACTAAAAAATCAAAAATTGATTGATTGTTCATTAACGTTGCCTTCAGAGGAAACATGAGCTATTGGTGATGGACCACATTTTTCTGAACCTCAGTCGCGTAACAAGAACGACGCATAAGCTGGAACTATCCCCTCCAGAATTCCCCACCTTCACATATAATGAGATTAAGTCTTAACAAAAACATAATAAAAAGAACAACAATAAGATATTATACACACAACAGCAAAATCAATGAGTCCACATCTATTTCTAAATTAAGATGAAAAACCTAGAAATTGAAAATTCTGATTTGATGAGTAAAGTTTTTTTTTTTTTTATTTCGGTTTCTAGTATATTTAACTATATTTGTTATGAACTCACTAGGGAAATAATTTAAAGTTTACTTCGTTGTATCATGTACTGGTGGTGCAGATATTTTTCTGCTGCATTTTTTATAAATTTATTATTTATTTACTGTAAAAAAAAACCACAATGAAGGACTCGCGTTATATGAAATAAAATTTAAGAGAAAAACGAATTAAAGAAAAGAGGGTAAAGTGGTCGGTTATGGAGACATAGAAGTCAAACACGCGAAACACACACAAAATCCACCTAATTTTGCTCCATCATTGTGCTTGGGCGAATAATATCGGCAATGTTCCTGTTGACGATGATTTGAAAAAGCAGTCGCCAATTTATGTGGTTCCCATAACCTATAAGTATCGAAAAGTGACAATATATAAACAAGTTTACATTACTTTGCAAGTGATAATGTAATGTAGGTTTATTTTCTCAAATTAGGCTCCTGAGATGATAGACATCTATGCGCAATTTCTCTGTTGTTGTTGCTAATGGCACCTGATTGGCAATGCCATATAGAGGCCCATGAGCTTCTTCGAGACAAGGGGCTAGATTTACGCCCGATCGTTAGCAGCAGCTTTAAGCACCATACAAGTGACAAGATGATTTCGCTCGGTTCCTTACAAAAGTTGAGGCAAAACACTGGGGTGTGGGCAGGGGCCTTCCACCCTCTCTTCCCCTTTCACCAATCTCACGAGAGGACTTGCGGCTCGACAGCTATTTAGAGTACCCTCATGCCGCAAAAGCACTATATATTTACAAATATCCATGCCTTCTCTGGAATTCAAACCCAGGCCAAACGGCACAGCAGTCAGCGTCATAACTCCTATACCGGATGGGTGGCTTGCATGTACCCTTGAATATTTGAATGATTATACAAATATATGAGGTAATCAAAAAGACGTCCTATATAAAGAAAACAAGTAATATAAAAAAGTCAATTCCCACTTAGGTCAACAAAGAAGAAATTTATTTTTTAGTTACTTTTTATTAAATAATTACAATTAATATAAATTTGTATATATTCGTACATACGACAGAATCACAGTATTAAGTGGCAAAATAGAAAGCGATTTTCCTTGCAATGTTCCATTTTCCTTTCTATATATAGTGTTGGACATTTATTTTTGTTTGTTACTATTTATTCATTAATTAAATTTAATTATTCTAATAAAATAGTATATAGTAAAAAAAAATCACATTCTTAGAAACTAAACCATCCCAGGTGGGACCCACGACCTTTGGATTAGAAGTCCAACGCGCTATCCTTTGCTCTACAGGGATACAACGAACGATTTTCTTTTCTATATATGCTGTTGGACTATTATTTTGTTTGTTACTATTTATTCATTTTTTAATTTGATTAATGAATAAATATTTGAAAAAAATGTATTAACATCAAGTGTCATCCACTACAAGTTTAAAAAAAATGTATTTGAACTTGAGTGCATGAATAAAAAGTATTGAAAAAGACAACTCTGTTTTTTTCATTTATTACAAGCCAACAAATATATCAAAGTAAAACAAACAGCTTTATAAAACAATCAAGCTTAGCAGTTATTTTTCTTGAGAGTAATATAGACACGTTTTTCTTAGTACAAATATATTTTAATTTCTCAACTAATTTTTCCAAATTAAGTATTTTAGTGTGCTCTGTACTAGATACTATTTTACATCATTACAAATTCTTCAATTAGTCGCAGTTAAAATATTTATTAATTACGTATATAATAGGATATTTAGATAATTGTAAAAGCATTGACATGCAATTTTGAGATTTTTAAGACCACAACTTATAAGTGATAAAATTCTACTTTTTATAGTTAATACTTAATGAATAAATTCTAATTTTGTTCGTTGTTTTACTCATATTGAATAAGGTAATCATCGAGATATTTAGAATCAATGTAATGATAATATTTATATATATTTATTATATTAAATTAAACTTAAAAAATCTATGTACATTCTTGTTGCTGCATTGTATTACTGTTATGTCCTTCATAACTGTAATATAATGCAGCAATACCTAAATATTACAGTTACCAGTAATTTAAGCAATGCCTTATTAAATAAACAATTCACACGCTGACAGTTTAAAAAAAATATTTAATAAAATTTAATTGTGTGTGCTAAAAAATTTTTAAATATATGTAAAAAAAGTTACATATTATTGCATTCTGTTAATTACTAACATAATTGCATACGATGTGGAAAAAATTACATATTATTGCATTCTGTAGATCTTCTTTATCCTTCAATCTGTATTGTTTAATTTTTCAATTCACCCGTGCGAAGAACGGGTATACCAGCTAATTTAATATATATATTGAGAGAGAGAGAGAGAAAGTATGATTTTTATGTCGACGGCATATAAAACATTTAAAGGTTTTTGAGATAGCTTTTGTTTGTTCTCTGATAAAATACTTGTTTGATGTTTCTGTTGACGGCTTCTTTAACTCTTATCACACTTCAGACGTTGGGAACAAATTATAACTGTCTCTCTCTAAAGTCCATACTTGCAAAAACAGGGAGAGATAATACTTCATTTTTGTAATTATGTAAATAAAACTAATCAAATTAAGAGAAACGAGTTTTATTTTAAATTTACTTAATGAATGAGTAACTGAACATTGTACTGCTTACTCAATTTTCGGAGATTGTAAGTAATTGTTTCAAAACGTTAAAATGGAAAAAAAAATTATAGAAAACTACACACTCTTTATTTTAAAGCATTTAAAATATATTTAAATGGATTAAATACATTGTTTTTTTGTCCCATGTGAACAATATCTTTATCATGAATGACGCGAACGCTCGATAATTATTCGAAAAAAAAAATTGATATGGAAAACCTATGTATTTTTAAATATAAACAATTTTAAAGAATGTGTATAATAATTGGGGACAATTTTTCAAACAGAGTAGAATTTTAAATTAAGAAAAAGGTATTAAATAATTTATCAATCACATTTTATAAACTGTAGCGAGCGTTAGTTAGTGGAACCCTAGTCATTACAGGGACGTCTTAAGACTTCTTGAGGCCATGGGTATCTACACTAATGTAGGCTTCCTCAATGACTCATAAAAGTAGACGATATATAGCATGCGTTGTCTCTCTCTCTCTCTCTCAAATACTTGAACAAATAGTAACCAGAAACAAATATAAGTATGTGACTTACAACCGCATAAACTGGCTCTATCGACTTCCGTCTTTTTGACTGAATAAGTAATGATGGTGTATGGTGGTAGGCCTACGCCTATACATGGACGGTGGTCATCCCATGTAGCCAGTTGACATATCATCCAAAATTCCCAGTTTTTCGGTGAATACAACAGGAATTCACACACATCTAACTTTTCAAATTATTCGAATCATGATCTTATTAAGGCTGAGTCAAGAACGAGACGAGGCCCCCATTCTGGTCAAGGCTCTGGGCCTGGGACCAGGTCGCTCGTGCCTTAAGACGTCCCTAGTCATTAGATGCCGCACAATGCCAAAATTCTCCAGTACTCCACCTTTTCAAAAAATGAAAACCATAGACACCTGTCACGAAAAAAGAAATTATGAAATTTCTCAGTATAATTATTTTACAAGGTATTGTGTGTAAAAAAGCCAGACACAAAACTGTACCGCAGCAAAAAAACATTAAATTTCGACACCTTTTTTTCCAAAGTATAATGCCTTACAATAGATTTTACGAAATACGTGTTTCTGCATTTTCTAAATAATGAAACGTTCGATTCTAATACACATCCAAATACCAAGTTTTGAAATTGGGGCAATGTTAGAGCACTTGAATGAATTGTTTCAAAGAGCTGTAACTCCTGGACGAGATATCGCAATTGATGAAACTCTCATGCTCTACATATGTTGCTTAGGATGGCGGCAATATTTGCCTAAAAAGATATCTCACACACATTTTGGTGTAAAATCATATTTATTATGCGAATCAAACTCAGGATTTATATGGACACAAATTATATATACCGGAAAAGGTAGGGTTTTTGATCATAAATATAAAGATTCGCCCTTATCAATTCAAGTCGTAATGGCACTCATCAAACCACTGCTAAGACAAGAATATTGTCTGATAACAGAAAACTTTTATACTTCACCAGAATTGTCAGACATGCTTCTAAAATTTCAAATAGGAACTATGAAAATGTGAAATTAAGCCGAAAAGAAATACCTCAAGAGCTGGTAAAAATGAAAATCACAAAAAATGAAAATATTGCTTTTTGTGAAGGTTAAATTACTTCCACGAAGTAGAAAGATAAGAAAGATGAAACCAAGTATCCACAGTCCATACAAATGACATGGTAGATACACAGTGCCCTAACAAATTGGTCATAAGACCTACAATTGTCACGAATTCCAAAAAAAAAAAACAAAAAAAAGAGCAGTGTGAGAGCAGTAGACATTGTAGTCCAATATATTGGAGATTACTCTATATCTGGAAAAAGAGGAAGGAAATATTATAAAGAAATATTTTTTCATTTGTTTGATATAAGGGGTGTTCATATGAAAGTGATTCGAGGTGTGTGTTCATGAGATGCATAGGGTTTGAAATGAGATAGATACAGAGATAGAAACAACAATATTTAATGAGTGAAATGCATACATAGTTTGTTAAAAGAAATCACCCATTACGCTTAGGCAGGCATCTCATTGCTTAGGAAGGTTACGAACTTTGTTGGTGAAGAACGCGATGTCTGTTGATCATGGAACCAGTTCAGAACTGCAGCCTTTATGCCATCGTCGGAGCGAAATCGTCGACCCATTAGGCCAGGGGTACTCAACCTTTTTTTCTGGTGGGCCGCCTACATCTGTCAGCTATTTCACGCGGGCCGCATCACGAAGATAAAGGGGGGAGGGAGAAGGTTAAAATGTGGAAAATTGTTCAAAATATATTTTAACCACTGTTTTGCTTTATTTAATTACGATTTTTTTTTCACTAACACTGAATTAGAAGCATTTAAGAGACACTACTTCACAATTTCTGCATCAGTAAACGGTTTCATGTGATTACCAATAATATAACAAACTTCATAAGATGTCTTTATTACCACTGTGACATTATCACTGACAAAACACTTTATTGCTATAGCAAAGATTATTCAAGAAAGCCTATTTATTACTTCTTGAAAGAGATATTCGAAGAAAAAGTGTCATTGAACAATTCCTGTTTATTGGTATTTTTTTAAATTCTTCACTTTCGTGACAAATCAAACAATTACTGACCTATGTCTGTTTTTCACTACAAAAAAGTCAACCTCCCAATCGTCTTGAAACGATATATTTTCTTCGAATATTTTTCGCTTGCAAGATATGAAGGATAGCTAAAAATTAATTCCACCCTTAAAGCTTACTACTTCACTGTTGTCTGTTATCCCTAACCGTAACCGTTACAAATAGAAAAAGAATATTAATTCGCACTCGTACGACATGAACAGCAAAAAGCAAAATTGATATATTTGATTTCTGAACACCAAATTTTTAATGTATTGTCCTTAAATAAGTGAATTTTTCAGAGCAATGGGCACTGACTGGGCCACTTAAAAAGGCTCGGTGGGCCGCAGGTTGAGTATCGCTGCATTAGGCCATTAACATCCCCTTTCCAACTGACTGCTGAGCTTTGAATTTTTAGGACCTATGTGAGTCGGGGTGTTTTCATTGCATGCTGACAGCTGGAAGTGATGACACCAGGTTTTTTCCTCTGCAACAATAGGCTGCACAAAGTCGTCACCGTCATCTCTGTAGCGCAACAAATGTTGCAAACTCAGGCCCATTCCAGCTTACACTTGTCGAGTGTTAAAAACTTTATTACAGCTTTCTGGTCCGTTTTGGACGCAGTTGCATCCATTACAGCCATTTTTAAATGAATGGCCCGTCCTTACAGCTATCACAATTCTGTTTGTGCACGCGTGTGTGCGTGGTACATACACCTTCACTAACGCGTTTGCTTCACGAAAACACATTTAAAATTGTTTGCATAGCGAAGCTTCGAATCACTTTCATTTGAACACACCTAATACTTTGAAATCTTACCTTATTTACAAATAACGAGGGAAAAAAATCACATTTCCTTTTCCATTTATCTTTAGTAGATGAACTTATTGAAAAGTAATCGATATCGGATACCCCACATTTCAAAATGAGGATTGCCAAACTTGAGAATAACTCCAACCGTTTGATTGAAAGGCATTTTATTCGATAGATATCTCTAACTGAAAACAAACGGCAACCATTAAGAGAATAGAAAGTTTGTTGTTTTAGAAGA